GCATTGTTCTGAATGTAGAGTGAATTGGATTATTCCTTCAAGGGCAATTAGACTTAATGCTGTGCTCTCCATCTCCTCCCTAAAGGCCCTATATCAGTAAGTAAATACCCCCCTAACTGTAACATTTACACCTCTGTACATATTGGAAACATTTAATGGAATGGGAGATTCTATTTTGATAAAGGATCTTCAAAATTAGTTTATTGTGACTCAGTTCTTCCATGCTTGGCATTTATGGGGTTAAAGGCTGTGTTAACTAAACAGTAAACTGTGACTAACGCAACACTGCAGAATTTAGGCTGAAATGGCGGTGTTGGAAACATTTGTTTGCAAATCATCTATTAGGGGTTAATTATTGAGGTTTGGCTGTCAGATAAAAAGCCTTTAGCGGTTTCACCTGTTAAGTGCAATTCAAAGCACACACATTAGGTCAACAGGTGAATTCTGCTCTGTTAATGTCATGATATTTTGTATTATATCGATGAGAGGGCTGAAATGTAAAAGGATTGCTGTGTCATTGCATTAACAAGAAAATAAAAATAAAAGGCTGTATTTCCCATTTTATTTTACACAAATGACTTCGTAAACTGGGGAACCTTATAGCATCTGACTAGCTGTCCTTATTAGGAAAAATATCATAATTTGGCAATATACAATATAACCAGCATAGACAAGAGACAATCTCCCAGCAACTATTGAACTCCAACTAAGCTGGTTATAATGTATTTTTTTTCCAAAAATTGATATTTTGCCAAATAAGGACAGCCAGTGAGGTGTACACACATTTAATGAGACATTTGGAAATGTAGAAAATATGCTATGCCAGTGAAAAGACAAACATATGGCTATGCTAACCGTGCAGTATAAAATGGTTAAATTACCGTGTTCACAGGGACAGCCCAATGTCAAAGACACACTGGGTATAATGCTAATGCCTGGTCTATTCAAAAGAGTCAGCTATAGGCTAATAAAGCATTCTGGGAGATAGAGTGCCTATCAGTTAAACGAGTCACAAACTACAACACTGTGTATATACACCAAAAATCTTATTGTAAATTGAATTGCTAATCATTAGCCAAAATAACAGCACTGTATAATATTTTGCCCTAAATTAGACAATTGAGTTATCCACCCACTGGGTTTTGTGGATAATCTTAAAAATCTGACAGAAATTTGACTCTCCTGCAATAGAGTATACTCCTGTTTCAGATAGACAAATTACAAAGACCACATGTGTTTTTTGTTGTTGTTTTTTTTAAACTCATTTATTTAAAATATATTTTGGAAGAATACATTGACATTTTTGTCATTTGTTTAAGTATGTGCTTGAATTATGTGAGGTGACGTTGTAATCCTGAATGTAACTGCTTAATCCAGAGAGCAAGAGCCGCAATGACGTGATTGGCCAATTTACATTGTGCGACGTGATACTATAAAATTGGCCAAATTAAAAAAAAAAAAAACAATGTCAGCACTTCAATTTAAAGCTTTTTATTTGTATGGATACCTGTAAAATAATGTAACAAAATAATTTGCCTCATTATACCTGGTATTTAAAGGGACATTCCAAGCACCATAGTAATAGCACAGTTTCAGGAATGCTCTTGCACTCTCCCCCTGTAAGGAATTAAACTGCTTTAGACTACTTTCAATTCTCACCTGGGATCTGCCGAGTTCCGCCCACTGCCTCGTGTACCAATGATGGGGAGCTGGAAGCTCTCTGTTTCAACTAAGCCCCTCAGTGCAATGAGTTGATGCTTTCAGCCAATGTGCTCACTCAGGAGAGCTAACATAGAGGGATGAGGTGGACCCTAGGTAAGGGGAGGGTATTCCTAGTGCTATAACCACTACAGCAGCCTACAATGGTTATGGAGTTTGGAGTGTTCTGTTAATAATGAAAAAACAGTCTAGTTCTATAAACAAGCAATTTTTTACACCACGGTTGATCTGGAAAAATAGATTTTTTTTTTTATTTGATTTTATTTTGCAGTTTGACTACTTTACATTAAAAAAATTATAATAATGGGTTTATTCACTAAACTGGAATGTGTAAATAAAAAAAAAAATGATAAAGGAATGTCAAATTTAGGATAAAATAGATGAGTTGGAAAACCAAGAGAGTTTGAGTTCCAACGTGAAATTCGTTCAATAAATACAGATCTACAGGATTTTTACTAAAGTGATAATTCAATTTGAAGGTTAGAGCAACTGAAGTGAAACATAGATCATTTTTCCAGTTCGGCTATGTTTTAACTGAAATTAGAAATTCACTTTCGTAAATAGCCCTGTATGTCAATTACCCCACTGATGGTCTTTTTTCCCCAGGAAATGTTCAAGCAGGAATATAAAACAAAACACTTGCTTACTCTTGAATAACCTTGCTCCCTCTAATGGCAGAAGCTGGAATCTACACATATTCAAATTTTGAATTGAGCAGCAAAATGATATACTGTCTGTTTGCGTAATCATCTGAGCAGCCCTGGGAGGCGTATATCTGATGCATTCTTGGGTATTATATTTAATTAGAAATAAAATTGATGTAAATGAAAAAAAGCTGCATGCAAAAGACACTCATGTTTGAAAATTGTTTATTGGAAATCCTTGAGTCTTTTTTTGTGACAAAAATTAGTGGCATGTTGAGATTTTAATTATATCCTGTTTCTACTGGGCACTGTAAAATCAAAGTTATGGCACGACAATACACAAAAATGACAAATGCTTGCTTTAACATGACTTTTTATTGCTTTATTTTCATATCGATTTCCATAGTGAACTGCAGAGCTCCATATTAATAAAACTCACAGCTGTGTCTGAGTGTATCACAGAGCTCCAGGACAATATATTTTACAGAGGTGCGGAGTGAAGTATATCGGCAATAAAATGTCATTACCATGTATAGGAATCTCCTATGAGTTTTGCATAGAGAAAATACTTTGTTGTTTTCTATTTCAATATTTTATTATATATTTTTTTTTTCAGGATTCCTTTTTCAATTTGTTTCAGTAACTCTGAATTGGCCTAAAATTAAGTTGTCCTCTCAGTATTTCTCCTCTAACTCATCATTACTGGTATTAGTTATATTACATTTTGCTGTAGAAAGGGACTAGTGACACGTGGTGGAGGTAGATATAGGTGGGAGGGATATGGTTGATGGGTTGAAGAGAATGTGAAGAAATTTTGTGGTGAAGGGAGGATTTAGAGGTTTATTACTTTTGAATAATATCATTGTTTTTTCCTTTTTGTTTATTATATCCTGTGTGATCTGTGATGTATGTTTTATTTGTTTTATGTTTTTCATGTAAAGAGTTAATTTTGACATTTGATTACCTACTCCATGTGGGGTGGTTCCTTGTGCATCAATTGATGTGATGAAGAGGGTATTTAAACGTCGTGGTGTTAGTTGGATCCTCAGCTTGACATAGACACTGCATGTGTCGAAACATTGCTGGGTCCACTTAATGGTGGAATAAATCTTCATTTGGTCTTCATGTTGTAGTGCTGTGGCTCCATGATTCTCTTTACTTTGTGAAGGTGTTTGGAGAGTAACCTTGGAAGCGTGAACTTATGCTATAAATGAAGAGTGCTGAATCTCCAACAAGTATACATTATTTCACACACCGTCATGGGGACACACTGTTTAACAACACATTTCCTGACAGACACACACATTCTCATTGACAGACACACACGCTCAGATATACATACACTTACAGACACACACTAACATGCAGGCTCACTGACAGACACATTCTCTCACACACTCACAAATTTATTTTCTTTTCTTTTTTTTTTTTTATATATATTTAGTCCAGCAAGCCTCCATTCCCTTGGGTCCAGTGGAGCTGGTCTTATCCTGTAATCTTCATGCTATTCTCCCTCCATGCTGTTTAGTGATGGCAGGCCCGGAGTGATGTCATAGTCCAGCACCCAGCATCACAGCATGGTGTATAAGACAGCAGAGCAGGAAGAGCAGCAAGATGACAGCTTCTTCACAATCAGCTCCAATGCACATAACCACCCACCTCAGGGGGGCCTAAGGTATCAGCTCTTGGGCCTTCCGGGACAGGCGGAACACAGAGGGCTCAGTTGCAATCATGACCAGGGCCGGACTGGGAGAAAAATTCGGCCCGGGCATTTTTTTAACACAGCGGCCCACTAAGAAGGGGGCGGGGGCAGAGGAGGTGTGTTTTGTCATCACCAATGACAAACACGCCCCCTCTCAAAGTGAGCATGTTGGTTCAATGCTCTTCCAGGGCAGGCCATGCGCAGAGCTCTGCTGAAGAGCTCTAGCATGATAAAAAAAGCCCTGTATTTGTTCTGCACAGTGCAAGCAAATTTAATAACATGCTTGCACTGTGTTTCCTTGCAAATTGTCTCTGGTGTCTCTATAAAGATACCAGGAAACAAAAATGCCAGGAAAGAGTATTGTGCATGTGTTTGGAACCTGCTTGTGGTATTGCGTGTGTGTAGAGTGAGCTGATTGTGGTGCGGTATTGTGTAATAAGGTTGGTTTTAGTCATGTTGTGTTTGTGGTGTAATGTGATGCATATGTGGCTAGGGGCTGTAGAGAATGTGTGTATTGGGGATATAGCAAGTGTGTGCATACAGGCTATAGTGTGTGTGTGTGTGTATATAGGTGATGTAGTGTATGTTTAGGGGTGTAGTATGTGTTTGCTTACAAGGAATCTAGTGTGTGTATAGGGGATCCAGAGTGTGTATGTTAAGAGTGTAGTGTGTGTGTATATATATATAAATATATATTTGGCAGTATTGTGTATGTGTGTGGTGCAGTGTGTTGAGGGGGTTCTGTGTGTATGTGAGGGGTGCAGTATGTGTGTCTGAGGGGTGCGGTGTGTGATGTGTGTGAGAGTGCGGTGTGTGAGAGTGCTCTGTGTGATGTGTGTGTGTCTGATGAGTGTGAGAGTGCTGTGTATGATGTGTGTGAGAGTGCCGTGTGTGAGAGTGCCGTGTGTGAGAGTGCCGTGTGTGAGAGTGCCGTGTGTGAGAGTGCCGTGTGTGAGAGTGCCGTGTGAGAGAGTGCTGTGAGAGAGAGTGCTGTGTGAGAGAGAGTGCTGTGTGAGAGAGAGTGCTGTGTGAGAGAGAGTGCTGTGTGAGAGAGAGTGCTGTGTGAGAGAGAGTGCTGTGAGAGAGTGCTGTGTGTTAGAGAGTGCTGTGTGTTAGAGAGTGCTGTGTGTGAGAGTGTGCTGTGTGTGAGAGTGCTGTCTGTGAGAGTGATGGGTGTGAGAGTGCTGTATAAATGTTAGAATGGATTTGTGTGTGTAGGGGGGAGGGGGGTTAAATAAATAAAGTAGGCATTATGTCCCCCCCTCCCTTCTTACCTTTAGCCTGGGAGGGGGGGACCGGCACACTGATCCCTGGGACTGGGAGGGGGGGTTCCCTGGTGGTCCTTGTGGTGAGATCCGGTCGTTGCCATGGCAACGTGCCGGATCTCGCGAGAGGAACCCGGCGGAGCTCTAATTTAGAGCTCCGCCGGGTCCTCTCTCCTAGCGGCTGTCTCCCCCCCTCTCCCCCTGCCCGCTGCCGCATTATACAGCATGTGGGCCGGTGAGGGAGATCTTTGATTTCCCTCACCGGCCCTTCATGGAAAACAGCGGGGCCGGCGCTCGGATAGTGCCGGCCCTGCATAGACCGGCAGGGGAGATCCTGGGAGCTCCCCTGCCGGCCTCGGCCCATGGCCACCGCGGCCCACCGGGCATTTGCCCGGTGTGCCCGATGGCCAGTCCGGGCCTGATCATGACCCGTGTAGTTTTGCCACTGTGAGCAGGAGTCAACATTGCAACTGGGCCCGCTCGAGTGACGGGCCTGGATCGCAGCTGCGACCCTTGCAACCATGGTGGTTCAGCCACTGGTATAGTCTCCTCACTAGTATGAAGAGACTATCTGGGGGCATGATAACTGTATCACGTTTTCAGGTAACTCTGGCATCGATTAAACCGTTTTCCCTCCTGCACTTGTGTCCAGAAAAGTGAATTCTTCATTGTAAACTATTCTAGTAACCTACTTTTTTCTGTACATGAATTACATCCTACCCTTACCTCTTTACCCCACTCCATCTAGAATGTAAGCTCTTTCGAGCAGGGCCCTCATCAGCCCAGCCCATCTTGTTGCAAATATATGTTTGTTAGGCCACCTATTGTACAGTGCTACAGAATTCGTTGGCGCTTTATAAAAAAAAAAAAAAAATCTAATGCTCTGCTCAGATTCTGCATCAGTATCGATGCAAAGGGAAAAGACTTGCAAAAGCTCAACCTTGCAACAGCCATGTGTCAATATTGAAAGACGAAAGGATGCAACTTTGCAGCAGTTCTGTATCAATAACGATGTGAGGCAAAAGAAATACCAACCTTGCTTGATAAAGATATAGATGCAAGGTTTAGGGACTTAGAACATATTTTCACATCATGTGAATTATGCATTAATAGTGATGTGAAAAACAATGCCCTTGTCAAATCTGTAGCCAAAAATAAGTTCAGGATTATTTCAGCATGGCAAATCTTTGGCAATGTCAGACACCAGGACCATTTAAATAATTTCTACTATGGAGCTGTGCTCTGTTGTGGTCTCTAATGTCCCGAGTGTTTTAATTATTTTGGATTTTGACTTGTTTCGTAACTATTCTGATTTCTGTGCTCCTTGATCCTTGACATGTCTTTCCATCCTGTTTTCTCTCTATGTCCTTTGACCTTGGCTTGTATTCTGACCATTATCACTTTTTCGACAATATTAAACCCAACCACCTCTAAGGACCAGTAGTATGTCCTGGTAGACAGCCACTAGAGGTGGAGTTAACTCTGCAAAGGTGATTATTGCAGTTTATTGAAAACTGCAGGGTTATGGTACCTAGGAGTATGAACCCAGAACACTTCAATGAGCTGACGTGGTCTTGGTGCCTATATATAAGCGCTTTCATAAAAAATATATACCGTATTTTTCGCTCCATAAGACGCACTTTTTTTCCCCTCAAAAGTGAGGGGAAATGTCTGTGCGTCTTATGGAGCGAATGTGAAGAATTACTTACCTGTCTTGGAGCGTGGGCCGGCTTCACAGCGCGCTCCGCGGTCCAGGAACTTCTATTTCAGGTTCCGGTTTTCGGCGGGACTGAAAGGAAGTGTGCACACTGAGTGTGCACACTTCCTTTCAGTCCCGCCGGAAACCGGAACCTGAAATATTAGTTCCTGGACCGCGGAGCGCGCTGTGAAGCCGGCCCACGCTCCAAGACAGGTAAGTAATTATGGGACAAGGGGAGGGGGAGACACTATGGGACAAGGGGAGGGGAGGAGACACTATGGGACAAGGGGAGGGGGACACTATGGGAGAAAGGGAGGGGAGACACTATGGGAGAAGGGGAGGGGAGGAGACACTATGAGACAAGGGGAGGGGAGGAGACACTATGGGACAAGGGGAGGGGGACACTATGGGAGAAAGGGAGGGGAGACACTATGGGACAAGGGGAGGGGGGGACACTATGGGACAAGGGACACTATGGGACAAGGGGAGGGGGAGACACTATGGGACAAGGGCAGGGGGGGACACTATGGGAGGGAAAGTGCACTATGGGACAATGGGAGGGGGGGACACTATGGGATCAGAACACTAATGGACAAGGGGAGGAGGGGTTAAAGAACACTATGGGACAGGGTAGGAGAGGTTAACAATCACTATGGGACAGGGTAGGAGGGGTTAACAATCACTATGGGACAGAGGAAAGGGGGGTTAAAGATCATTATGGGACAGGGGAGAAAAACAAATATTCTGAACAAACTGTCCCATGGTAAGAAACACTATGGAACAGTTTGTTCAGAATATTTTTTTTTCTGGGTTTCCTCCTCTAAAAACTAGGTGCGTCTTATGGTGAGGTGCGTCTTATGGAGCGAAAAATACGGTAAATGACATCAAATTAAGTTGAATAAATACATAAGTGAAGTAATAAATCGGCAACCTTGAAGAAATTGAATGTTACTCTGCAAATCTGAGTATTTGCCGAGTATTTGCATTGGAACATAAGCCATGACTACTAAGTGGAATCCTAATTCTTCGTATTTATTGAATAACCAGATTATTCTTCATCAACGGCTTCATTTTGGATGTGGAAATGCTTAACATCTGAATAAAGAATCAGAAATAAAGAGAAGTGGGCTAGCACAGCAACTCTACTATAAACAGGCCAGAGTGAAAATACAGATGGATATCCAACTACAAACAAATCTGTAAAACATCTATTGGCAATACGAGAGAACCTGCAGAATCACACATACATAAAATCCCTTAGACAAAGTTCTATCCCAGGGATGTGTGTAAGCATGTTTGATAATCGTTAATTATAAGAATGGCCTTAATAGATAATATGTACGTCAGTTTTTAGCTCCTGTAATAAAGTGCCCTGGAGCTGTGCTCTTATATTAAACCTTTAACAGATGGAGGAAAGCTCCCATGTTGCTTATTAAGAAGGATCAAATATAGGATACTTTGAATACTTGCTATTGTTTCTTTTTCCAAACTGCAGAGCAATCTCGGTGGATGTAAACAAATCTGGAGAAAGAGCTGTTTCTTGGTAGGAACAGCTGATAATGAAACAAGTCCCCTTGTATTTCATTATAGTCATTCTCAGAGAGGAATTGCCCTGAATTTTAAATGGTTTTCCCATTTTCAGAGTGTTAGCTCACTCATACTAATTTTGTCCATGCATTCACCCGTATTTTGCATAATCCCAACCTCCTCAATACCCCACAATGCTTTCTAATCTAAACTCACATAAAACTATAGGTTTTTCTACATTTATTTTGAATAAGGTACATTTTTATTTGATAGCTTAGATATAAAATACAATGTTATGTGTATTTCTAAATCCTATGAAACCTGCACGTATAATTGTAAGGTATAAAATGATAAAAGTCCAGAACTAAAAATCTAATAATTATCAGAATATATATACCAAATCAGTTGTGGTGGTGAAAAGTGTGGATGAAAACCCCTTCCACCTGAAATAAGTGGATAGTTAATGCAATGTTAAACACAAATACACCATAAGACTTGCTTATACCACATTAATCTCACTTTAACAGTGCTCTCACTACTGCAAGGAATTCTGGGTAGGTGTATGCAAATGAGCTCAACCAAGAACAACAGCATTGCACCTCTTCCTGAGTTGTGTTTCAAAGCTGTTGAATGCAGCAGACACATGCTCCAAGGAATCCATGTATAAAGTAGAATTATGAGGCAAAAATGTGGTTCTTTGTTGAGCTCTTTGCATACGCCTACCCAGAATCCCTTGATTCTTTTGAGCAGGACCATCATCAGCCCAGCTCATCTTGCTGCAAATATATGTTTGTTAGGCCACCTATTCTAGTGAGAGCACTGTTAAATGAGATTTATGTGGTAAAAGCAAGCCTTATAGTTTGCCTGTTGTGTGTATTTGTGTTTAACATTGCACTATATATATATATATATATATATATATATTTGTGCTCGGAATCTCTATTATGTTAATGGAATGTAGAGGAGAAGCAAAGTTGGTTGAGGTGTGCCGAGGCCAACGTATGAGTAGGCCTGTAAAAAGAGGGCCCACAAAGAGAAATGTGTAAAGGAGGGTGTAGGTGGGTGGGGTCAAAACATCTTGAACGTCAAAGGTAAGTAGGGGGGTAGGGTTTATAAAGGGTCATAACTCCTCCCACAAATTCAGGCCAAATGGCCTTCCAACTTGTTCTCAGAATCTCTATTATGTTAATGGAATGTAGAGGAGAAGCAAAGTTGGTTGAGGTGTGCTGAAACCAACGTATGAGTAGGCCTGTAAAAAGAGGGCCCTCAAAGAGAAATGTGTATAGGAGGGTGTAGGTGGGTGGGGGCAAAACATCTTGAACGGCAAAGGTAAGTAGGGGGTAGGGTTTATAAAGGGTCATAACTCCTCCCACAAATTCAGGCCAAATGGCCTTCCAACTTGTTCTCAGAATCTCTATTATGTTAATGGAATGTAGAGGAGAAGCAAAGTTGGTTGAGGTGTGCCAAAACCAACGTACGAGTAGGCCTTAAAAAGAGGGCAAAAAGGAATTCAAAGTAAACACACTTTATTGCAAGTTTTAACTGTGAGATTTCTGAAAGCCTGCCTGAGCTCCCTTTCTGGTCGAGGGATGTAGGAGTTGTATATTGAGGATTTCCAGCATCCCAGCCTGTTAATGATGTGTACCGGAGTGTTAGTGCTTGAAGCTGATGATGCTGCGCCGATGCGAAATGAGTGACCAGAGAAGGAAGC